GGTCATGAAACATTCCCGAGGCCCTGACTACTTGCTGATGGCACTTCCTTGGTTCTTGTGGCTCCATTGGGTGGAAAGTTCAATATATTGATATGAGCTGCCTCTTCCTGGAGAAAGCAAGAGCCCTCCTTTGTCTAGCAATAAACTAGTGCAAATTATTCTTCCTTCTGCTATGCAAGAAGTTTCTGTAAACACTGCCACTTCGCAACACGTATTTTACTTCTTAAGACATTTACATAATGAAGCCTCTGCTTCATTCTTCCCCTCTGCAAAGAACAGGTCCTAAACAAAATTTGTATCACACCTTCCAGTAACTTACACTGGATGAAAAGGGGATGCAGAGCAGAATTGCCCAGCAGGAATGCTGAGGAGCAAACAGGCCTCATTCTGTGTGGTCATCCCGTAGATCACTACAGGGCTGTAGACCTCATCTTGCAGTCTTCACTCAGACAACACTCCCATTGACTTCCACAGAACTTCTGTCTGAAGAAGGAGGTAGGATTTGGCCCAGAAGTTAAAAAAAGCCTTCTCAGCTTTCAAGTGTAGATTATTAATGTCCCAGAAACAGTGGACAGAGGTTTGGCACACTGCATGAAACTGACTTAAGCTGACATTTTCCCGCTCTTTCTCGGCCTCTGTGCTGACACAGGCTCAGAGGACTGGGATGCTGGACCCACCATGAGCACATCCCACCTGCCACAGGACTCAGCTGAGGCAAGGAAGGACCATGCAGGGACCGAGTCCAGGGTTTTACACAAGCTGCCTTCTGCCTCTGCAAGTCTGCAAAGGCTTCTGCTTCCAAGGTTTGCCTGCCACCCATCTAAAATCCTGTGAAGCTCCTCACAGAGATTAGTGTCTCCATTACAGCTCCTCTTTCTGACAGCCTGTCACACACAGGTCACCCTCCCTCAAAAACCATTCCCTTACAGGCTCTCACATAAGAAAGGGACATCCTGCACCAAAACCGTGGCATGTACAGCCTCTGAGAGGAGAGCGTAACACAAGGAAGCAGTGGTGCATCTGTGACTCTGAACAGGCTGCAAGAAGAAATCATGAGCGTGCCAAAGTGTAAGGAAATAATGCACAGTTCTCTTCCCAGCAGCAGCGTGGCAGGCTCTGCACACACCTCTGTAACCACTGGCCTCTCCCACTCCTTCCAGCAGTGATTCCCTGGCTTGGAGCTCAGCACAGGCAAATGGCCAGCCCCTCAGAGAACATTTCCAAGCTGTGCAGCGCTGTGCAAAGAGACAGAGGAACAAAGGGTGTAGAGTGGTAAAGAGATGGAGGTGTGGGCAGAGTGGAAAAGCAATGCAATTCCAGCGAGCAAAACGATGATGATCTCCATTGGGTTCACAGCTAAACAGGAACCTCCCATGCTGAAGAATCCCAGAATCATTTGGGCTGGAAGGGACCGCTGGAGTTCACTCAATCCACACCCCTGCCCAGGTAGAGTCCTCTGGAGCAGGTGACACAGGAGCATGTCCAGGTGGGTTTGGAATGTCTCCAGAGAGGGAGACTCCAGGCCCTCCCTGGGCAGCTGTTCCAGGGCTCTGCCACCTCAGTCGACGGCCACTGCTCCTCATCCTGTCATTTGGCATCACTGAAAAGAGCCTGGCATCATCCTCTGACACCCTCTTAGAGATATTTATATGCATTAAGAAGATCATCTCTCAGTCTTCTCCAGACTAACCAAGCCCAGCTGCCTCAGTCTCTCCTCGTAAGAAAGAAGCCATAAACACTGCTTAAAGGCCCCAAATGCATACTCTTGGTGCCTTGAAAATTCAGAAGCCTTCTGAAGGAAATTTTGACTTGCACAGGGAGCCACCAGTGGAATGAGAAAACAATGACATGGTGACAGATCAGGCTATGCCAGTGCATACTGTCCATCTACGCACTCTTACTGTACAGTGAGCAAGGCAGCTGGAGGAAAATGCCACTTCCATGCCCTCCTAATGGAGAAGGAGACTCCTGAAACCTTTGTGGGTGCAAAGCAATGGAAGAGAAAACTTTATTCAGAAGGACACACAAACTTCTGTCCTGCTTAGCAGCCATATGTTCCAATGGGACCAAGGGCAAAGAGGGAGACATTCCAGTTCTAGTCATGCTCATGTGAATCATTAATCACTGCAAGGACTGGGGAGAAAAGCCCTGGATTTATAACCACACAGCTTGGTTCAGGTTCATTGGGCTCAAAATAAAGGCAGAGAAACAGAGAGAGTGCCAAAGTGACCAAACATGACCAAAAGGAATATGCAGAAGAATGGACTATTACCTCCTTTTGGGGAATGTTCAGATGGAAAGGAGAACAGGGATGAGTATCACAGTGATCCTACACATCCAGCATAACACCCAGTAACTGTTTCTGGCTGCTTCCCTCTTCATTTGCTGACACTAAGTGCTGCAGGACTGAGATCAAAGCCAGCTCCATACAGGCAGTGAACACCTGGGAATTTCTGGTAAAACGTTTTTGCAGGGAAATTAAAAGGGAGCAGTTGATGGAGAAGAACTAAGGCTAGGGGAGAAAAGTTCAAAATATGCCAGATTTTGCATGATACTTTAAAGGAGAAGAGTACTTGAAAGCAGAGAAAGCTATGCTGAGATGAATCAGGAAATAGATTCACTGCTGTGCTCCAGACCAGAGCTATTAGCCAAGCAGCCAAGTCAGGTCTGGGAATAGTAAAGAGTCAAACCCAGGCTAAAAACACACATGGGGAGCAAGGGAAGAAGGAGCTACATGTCCGAGGAGGTTCTGTTGTTTAAAGGAGGCAAATGGGGAAATGAAACACCAGGCATAACCCCGGCTGGCAGAGAGCAGCGGCTCTGAGGGAAAAAGACAAAGAAGAAACAGAGTAGCTGATGAGAGTTCTGCAACAAACAGGACAAGAAAAGGAAATGACAACTGGATCTGGAAGGAAGTCTGACGAGAAGGGGCTTTTCTTCAAAGAGTGGCGGTGAAAGGGAAATTCTGCAGTAACAACATTTCCACAATGGAAATTGAGGTAGCAGTTCACAGGTAAAGTGGGAATGTGGTATTGAGTGCCTGGGTAAGTAAGATCTCTGCTTTCGAAATGAAAAAGTGTTGTGGGTCCCCCTCAAAACTACACGGTGGTCTGTGAACAATGGGGTGAGAAAAAAAGGGAAATCTCCGGCCAGCACCATGGTGCCCTCCCTTTTGCAAAGCTCTCTAGTTAGCAATGACATCTTTCACTTTTAAGAGAAGAAACTCTTGACTTGTTGCCTCTTTAAACTCTACACAAAGGACTTCATTTCGTGCATCGGAAACATATAACATGAGATGCAGATCACATGGGGGACACACATGAGGGAACTGCATGACTGGGCTGAGGGCTGGAAAGGGGGCACTGCTCTGGATCTCAGTTAAAGGACTTCTAGAGCATGGAGCTAACCACCAAAGAATTCATAGAGTGGAAAGAAGCCATGGACTTTGGAGACTCTTTCATGACCCACAGTCTTGCAATGGTTTGGTTATATGGAAAACTTTAAGGGCAAAGGACTATGGACCAAAATTTGAGATGTTAAACCATAATGAAATTCTAGGGCTCTCAAGAATATGTTGTGTTGGATTAAAAAGAAAACAAACCAAAACACTATAGTAGGAAGTGAAAGCAACAAAAGAGTGGGAATATTGTCTTGTCTGGAAGGCAACATGGAGCTGTACTGGAGTTTGATGGCTGATGGTGTGAAGACCCAGGGAAAGACCACCTTTTTCATATCACACAAGACAGAACAGTGACTGTATCCTGAGTAAGGGGAGAAGACAAAGAAATCACCAAGACTGATCCTGCAGTGTTTGAGCAATATTTCTATTGAGTCCTTTGGTCTGAAAAGGATCATGCAGCAGTGGGAAAACAAGGGGAACTCTTAGAATCATGCCGACCAAAAAGTCAATTATCCTAACACAGCCCATATACAAATCTCTAAAACACATCATCTGAGGGAGGAAGAACTGGAAAACATTGTAAAAGTAGTCACTACATCTTAAATACCAAGACACAGGTGTTCAAAACCAAAAGCTGCACCCAGTCTTCCCTTCCCCTCTGCAAACACACAGGCAGAACAGTTCCTATCACAAAGGACAAGGTATGTCAAACTGGTGAATTCAAACACTGAGCCATCCACTTCTTGAAAATTACTCTGCATGCTATTTATCTAGTCCAGGTCTAACTTCTAAAAGTAGCCTTACCATTAACCCTTTGGATGAAAATTCAGAGTACACTAATTTTGTAAAAGTAACTGAGGGAGGAAAAACCCAAACAACAAAAAAACCACACAAACAAAAAACAGTGTTTTGCAGACGGGTCAAAATTAAAAAGCCTCTCTTCCAAAGAGACAATTATTCTCATCTAAATCTTCAGAAACTGTGTTCAGCTGTATGACAAAAAGGGAGTGCAATGGTTCCTTATGAAACACAGTAGTTTCACTGCTATCTTGGGGTGAAGCCAGGAAAGAATCCAAATTTTTTTTATATAAAAAAGCAATTACTTTTTAAACTGTCATTCCCTGTGCTTCAGGGCTGTGGCAGTATCACATAAATGCTAAAGCACACAATTTTACCTTTTATCTGGATGGAGTCCAGTTAAAGAAAAGTTTACGAACACATTCATGCAATGCATTAGCTCAATACATTTTGGGCTAACGTGCCACAATAGGTTCTGTATTTGGAGCTGTCCTTACATGTATCTGTGGCCCTCTAAAAGAAGCAGTGAATGAAGTAAAACAGAACCCAGGATGGTCTAATACAGCCTTACAAAACTTCACTGCAAAAGCACCACACAAATCAGCTCCACTACTGGTCTCTACTGCAAGAATTCTGTCCAATGCAGTTTTGGGGCCTGATTCACAACACCCTTTGCAAACAGTCCCGTGGGATTCGGCTGCTCTTCCCACATCATGTAGGGATGGAGGGGATGAAACACCACCAGGAACAAATCTGCCCTTCCAACCACACTATGAGCAGCAGCCAGAGCAGCTGAGCCTACCTGTGGCACAAAGGGCGATGAAGGTTTGTGCATGCTTCCGGATCAAAAGCAACTTGTCTTTAGGGAGAGGCACCTTCCTTAGGATGTGTTCAATGAAATCATGTGGGGTGACGGCTGCAAGGTTCCACTTCAACTTCCCCAGCACCACCAGCTCCCATTCCTGCAGAGAGGGGGACAGGGGAGAGCAAAAGAGAAGAAAAGCCATAAGCAAGCCTGCGAAAAACCTCTGCTTATTTCTTATTATAACTTTATCACTGCTAAATTTGTTTTGCTCAAACCCTTTTTTCCATATGCCTCTACTGCTTTGAAGTTGTTGACTTTATATTCTCTTTTTTTTTTTTTTGAACACCAGAAATGTCAGGCTCTACTGAAAATAATGAGACCTGGCAGCTCCTGCCAAGGTTTTACTTTTTTTTTTTTTTTTATCCACTGCTGAATGCCCACCCAGAAAGTTTAGCCCGCAATTAGATATTGCCAAGGTCACTGTGGTCCTTCCCTACTAACTTCTTTTAAATGGCTATAGTCCTTACTTTATAGCCATTTAAAGCCCTAGGGACAGCCATGCACAAAAATAACCTAGATATACATTCCTTTTTTCAAAACTGGGGAAGTTGGCTTGATGGCGTTCCCTCCCAAAACTGTACTCCAAAGGTCCTGCAGATAAATCTGATGGTACTTAAACTACTCCAAGACAGGCTCTGCAGAAAGGAAATGCACACAACACAGCCAAGAAGTAGCCTGTGTAAATTATCTGCCAGTAAATCATGTAGGAGCCATTCCCAGATTCTTTGCACGCCCAAAACTCCCACTGCAATCAAAGGAAAACTTGGGCGTGTACGTAACTACCGGCCATTCCCTGGAATGGGATTCCATGTGCAAACAGCACCCCACCACCAGATCCAGCCATGGGGCGCATGACCTGCATGTTTCAACATTTAAACCGAGTTCTCAACACATTACAGTGCCCCAAAGAGCGAGCAAAGCTCAGGCTTCCGACTCGCATTTGTCTCATACATCAACTATTAGCTATTAACTAAATTCCACGCACTGGTTCCCAAGTCCTGATGATGCCTGATGGAGCCCAGCATGGTGGGGAGCCCCAGCTGAGCTCACAGAACTAGCAAGACAGATAAAAAAAAAAAAAAAGGTCCTTTAATTTTGCAGCCGCGGAGACGTCAACCAGCGTTGCTGAGAAACCATAAACATGGACCCCACAATGCCATTTCTGCAGTTGTTTCCCTGAATAGATGCCCACTTTAAGAGCAAGTTACTTTCCTACGGACATTCCTGCTGGATTATGACAGAGTCCTCCATGGCCTGAAAAATCTAACATATATGCAAAAGGCCACAGAAACCAGATGGGTTTCTTTAGCTTCTCAAGAAAACCTGTGAAATGTTGGAACATAATAGCAATTATGTGAAGGAAGGCTTGCTCTTCCCAGCATTACTGATGTGACAGGTTTTGAGAGAGAATGGTCAACCCAGAAGACAAGGAAGCGCTTTAAACACATGCTTCAATCCACGTGGCGTGAGAAGGCACGGACATCGCTCTGCGCATCTGCACATGGTGACCACGGCACTTCCCCTGCCCATCTGTGCTGCCAGCAAGACACCTCGTGGCCCTGACAGCCAGGCAGGCTTTGAGGGCAAGGCTCTTTAATTCCGTGGCAGCACGAGCTATCAACCCCAACGCCTCCCCAGAGGGAATTCCCAGTGATTCATAGGAGAAATTCTCCTGCAACTCGGATGACTACAGCCATGTCTCTGACCTAACATCCATATCACCGAGGGGCTCCGGTGCACATTTAGTGCTCCGCATCATGATGTATACGTCACTTATTTCCTTCAGTAATTATCCATTTGTTTCTGCTTCCACTGCATCTCAACTGAGAGAAGCAGCAAACACGGGGTGGTTTAACTGAGCCACATCACACAGGATGGGTCAGGCTGGAAGGTACCACACAGTGGGGCACCTCGTACCACCTCCCTGCCTCAGCAGGGCCATCCCAGAGCACAGGGCACAAGATTGTGCCCAGACAACTCCAAAATATCCCCAATGAGGGGGACTCCACCCCCTCTCTGGACAATCTGTTCAGTGTTCGGTCACTGCAGAGTGAAGAAGTTCTTCCTCGTGTCCAGGTGGAACTCCTTGGGCACGGCCGAGCATCCTGGGGGCCCCCCCCCCGAGCATCCCGGGTCCCCCCCGGCCCCG